GCTCTGACCGAGTATTTAGGGCAAAAATATGTGCCTTCATATTTGGCTTCGTATAACGTTTATAATGTTTATATTTATAAAACTAAAGTCTGGGTTTATAAACCGAAACATGACCTTTAGTTTTTTATATTCTTCATAGTCGAGTTTAAATTGGCCTAATTTATAGTTAGTTACCACTAGAAATGCGACGATATTTTGTTATATATATGCAACAGTGTTTACAACTTTTGAATAATATGTGATTTGGTTTTGTTTCAGATACTATTACATGTTGCTTCATTTTACCATAAATTGTGTTAAAAAAGTGATTTGCTCATTTGGCTGATGTTACAGTTTTCGGATGTGTTTTGTTTGGATCATATTAGAACAATTTCAATATGAAAGTGCAGGTGTCTTTAGAGATGAGCCATAATGTATATATAAAAAATACTGATAACATCCGTTTCCAGCTTGATTGTATTATTGTATCCGTTTCCGGATTTGTTGTATTTGCATTGTTGCAGACAAAGTTGTGCAATGGTGGGCTTATGTCACATACTCGTATGTAATTCCATGTGCCTGCATGTACTGTACTTTGATGCCTCAAGAGATGCTTCAAATGTGTAATAAAGGGCTGTTCGCAGGAGTTGGGCTGTTTGGCCTTAAATTGCATTGTTTTTATGATATTTTAAGATTGTATTCATATGGCTGGACCATCTTGCCATTGCCACAATGTCTGATGTTCAAACAGGCTTTAAAATCAGATTACAATGCATGCTTGAAAATATGCAACAATTTCACTGCTAATAATATTCCAGAAAATCCTGCCTCTTGGGCAGATCTGGACTGATTTGTCAGAGGGGGTTGGAAGTTTTTTACTTGTGATCGGGCAAGGGGAGCTAAGCCAAGGGTGCTGGGTCAGAGTCATACTAATGTGAACAGTTTCTAAGTCCTATTTATATTGATAAATTATGTACACTTGGGATGGTAATGCAATTTGTAAAATATTCCAGATTTTATTTAATAAAATTTAATTATATACATTGTTTTTGTTGTTTATACTAACACCTTGGACAGTGTATATTTACACCTTTGGACCCCGTAAATAAACACCTTTGGAGGGTGTATCCATTCTAAGCCAAAGACGTTTAAGAACAATTATCAAGGTATTTCCATTATAAAATATATTTAAAACTGCTCTCCATATACATGTAATGTATGGTTCAATTCTTGCTTTTACCAAGTAAACCCAGGGATTTTTGATGTCCCCCCTCCTCCCGTAGAATTCACTTGAAGTGACTGGGGCAAGGTAGCTATAAGTATAAGTAGTTATATTGATTTAATTAAAGTCAATTAAAATTTAGAAATTGGGCTTTTTGAATATAGGCCATTGCAATTTTTTTTTCATTTGTTTAATCCTTTATAGTGGCAATGTCCCTACTTTAGTATATTACTCCATCTGGTGCCTGACAATTTTAATTAAGGGCAGAATGTAGACTTAAGCTTGCCACAAGTCGACCTCGAACGAAACATTGGCTTACACTCGCTGCTTGCGAAACCGTTTGAGGTCGACTTGTGGCAATTCTAACATAATGCTGCCACTGAATGAGTTAATATATTCTCAGAACAACTACTATCAAATTTAATCTATTTTGCTGGCAAAATTCCGTTGGAGGGGGTCTTTGACTTGTTGTGCGAGTTTCCATAACAATGGTCTTTTATTAAAGTGTTCTTTAGCTGGTATAAAGACGTATGCACGTGACTAATTTCTTACTCAAGATTGGATAATTGCTTCATGAATTATTATATATATAAATATATATATACATATATATTTATATATATATATATATATATATATATATACATATATATTTATATATATATATATATATATATATATATATATATATATATATATATATATATATATATATATATATATATATATATATATATATATATATATATATATATATATATATATATATATATATATATATATATATATATAATTACTGTTCTTACTTAAAATGTTTTTTTGTCTCTACTCCGAGTTTCACGCATCACTGCGATCATGAGGAGACATTGTTCTCAATTAAATTGAGAACAATGTCTCCTGATGATCGCAGTGATGCGTGAAACTCTGAGTAGAGACAAAAAACATTTTAAGTAAGAATAGTAATTACATTCGCTCTACAAAATTTTATGTATTGAGCACTCTCTTCACTATACGTTACAAAACTTATGATATATATATATATATATATATATATATATATATATATATATATATATATATATATATATATATATATATATATATATATATATATATACTGAACAAATGCACAGATGTCTATTGTCTACTAAGATCGATTTCAATGCCCTAAAATTTGACGGGAAAATTCCACTGAATGTTTTGTATGTAACATGCCTTGTGGATATTTGAAAAGGTTAAGAGGACTGCAGGCATAAAATTGGAATAAAAGGATGTTATTTTATTTTCCAGACGTTTCGCCGGTCAAGGCTTCATCAGTAGAATATTACTTATTACAATATAAACGTCTATTATATACAAGCTAGCGTATTAAAAATTCATGAACAGAAAAAAATATATAAAATCTATTGAAATGTCAATTAGCAACGATGGAAACAAACAATTCTGTACTAATTGTTCTTCCTAGGCAACCTTTCATAATATTTTCGCTACGATTATATATGTATTTCGAAAGCTTCAATATACATTGGCGTTTATCTTGGTATGTTATATTATTATGCAATGTTTTCGAAATTATGTCAAATTGATGAGATTATCCATTCTTATATCTATATATATATAAATATATATATATATATATATATATATATATATATATATATATATATATATATATATATATATATATATATATATATAT